GAAGGTGGCGAGGCGGGAGGCCGGCGTCTGGAACTGGGGGTAGGCGTCCGTCAGGGGCCACGCGCTTCCTGCTGAGGATATGTTCATCTGATCATTTTTTAATCTTCTCTTGTGTGTCGTATGTCATACAGGTTAAATAGCCCTTTTTTATATTTGCGTTGGGAGTGTTTTATACGATCTTTGCTTTTAACTCCGTATGTACAATAGAAATGCGAGGCAACTGAGGAGTTTGGAAAAAAAAAAACGAGAGATAGAAAGAGAAAAAATCCAGACTAACCTCCCGGGGAAATCCCTTCTGAAAACTGCATGTTGCTCAGCCGGAGCAGGTAATACTCGCGCAGCAACTGATACAGGCGCCCTTCCGTCCCCTCTCTCGAAGAAGCGTCGACAGGAATGTTCCCCGTCGGCGCCCCGGTCACCAGAGGACACTCGGGAAACTGCTTCCGGTGCTCCTCGTCTGGCTGCTCCCCGGGGCTCCAGCATCCCAGAACCCCCAGGCAGAAGATGCACTGCACGTGGTCCTTGACGCCCGTGAAGAAAAAGCCCGACTGCGCCAGCTGGGTCGACGACAGCTGGCTCTCGTCCCATCTGGCGAAGGTCAGGCGTCGCACGGCCTCGAAGAGCAGGTCCAGCGGGGAGAGGAAGCAGCGCTGCTCGCGAGGGGAGGCTGCAGGGGGCATGGGGGGGGGGGGATTTGAATGACGTGGGAAGGAAGGGGAGGCAGAGAGAGGGAGTGAGGGAAGGAGAAGGAGAGAGAAAGAGAGAGAGAGAGACAACGACAGAGACAGAGAGAGAGGGGAGGAGAGAAAGAGAGAGAAATACAGAGATGCAGAAGGAAAATATAGCAGCGAACAGGAAACTGTACATACACCATGAGCCACAACCGTCATAATGTATATATATACATCATAAACCATACCAAGAGAGACATGAAACCAATACTCACATTCCTCCACCCTGTCTCGTGAACACTGTTCTTCGTTCTTCATGCCAATCATCGAGAACCCTGCCTTGTGGGTTTCCTCTTCCTCTGGTCTGCACGCAAGGAAATATGTGATAATGATGCTTATAATTATAACGATAATGCTCTTCGTTGTTTCATTTACAGAAGCTTATTTACCGGTTGAATAGATTATACAATTCACACGTAAATTCCTAATATGTAATAAATGAGACCGAGAGAGAGAGAGGGGGGGGGGGGAGAGGAGGATATTCGAGAGCTAATGCACTACCACTGAGCTGTATGTCACTTCCTGATTTCAAGTAGATATATACAACGCACTAATGCTATTCATTTTAAGGTCCTCTAATATACAAACAGATAATACCTAGACAAAGAAATCCGAAGTCTTATGCAATGTTTTATCAGAGATTATCACCGTGATCAAATGCCGCATGACACACAAACTCACGCAAGAGTATTTCGTCTGTTGGATACAACGTGGACATTCTTTCAGTGTGATGTTTGTGGTTTGATAAAGACTGAAATACTTTTATCACTGACGGGGAGAATCAATTATACTCAACATTACACACACACACGCACACACAGTAGGGATATCTTCGTCGTCGCCGTCTTCTTCTTCTTCTTCTTCTTCTCCTTCTTCTTCTTCTGCTTCTTATTAATCGTATATAAATTTGACGTTATTATCAAACTAAGAAGCCACCTCAATTCATACGATTGTATATGGATATAATACAAAACATATATATGAACACACATACACAAATGCATATCTAAATAGAGCATTGAATTTGCTTAATAATAAACAGCATCCGAGGATTTGCACATTTTCTATTGCAAACAAATAATTTTGTGAATAACTTTCTTCCTTCCTGGTATATATCATTAAAACAAGTATGGGAAATCACGTAAGCAATAAATCTATGCAATGCATGACTCAAATAATAAATAGATGTTTTCAGACAAGACTTTGCATGTTTAAAACAAAACCACAAGTACTATTGTAATAGCCATACACATTAATCTTATCACAAGGCCACGGTGATACACAAACCACGAAATGAACAATAACACTGTCTTTCCTCTTCTTATTGGCACTAGATTACACTTGCACTTTACCATGTTGAATGGTTGTCAGGATGGAGCCACGAGTTCCTCACAATAGTTACTTAGTTATGAGCTATTCACGGTAGTTGGTCGGTTATGAGTGACGTTCGTTTATTTAATGCAGTAGTCGTTCTGTTGTGAGCTCCATTAGTTAGTCATTCACGATTACTATCATTTAGTTATGAGTGATTGACAGTGAGTTAGGCAGTTGTGATTTACAATAGTGTTTAAGTTATGAGGATATGAGTTATTTAACTAAGAGGGCACCTTGGTTTGAATGATTTATCCAATAATGAGATACATTAGTTATTGAATCATGAGTTATATTATGCTATAACGGGTGATTAGGACAGCAAATTTCAATAATACACACACACACACACAAACAAACACATAAAAACAACTGAGTGAACTGGAGTTGCCAACTTT